GAGACTGGATCTGTCTATTTCTAGCTGTCTCACACTGGCTGAGCAAGTTTCTTGATCTTCCTATGCCATGGTTTCCTCATTATTAAAAGGTGCCAATGAATTTAATGATGCAGCATTTACATATAATTAGAACAAGTAAATGGCTTAGAAACATAACTGGCACAGAAGTAAGCAGTCAATAAAGGTTAGGCTTTATTGACAATTGGGGTCAAGGCATTTGGCCAGTGTAATTCTCTGGGGTCATTTCTCTATCTTAAACCAGCTGCCTGATGACCCCTTTCTTTTTAATCTACGTTCTGTAGGCCTATTGGTATTCAATTACCATGCAGGAATATTTGTAATCAGGCTTTATCTTTTCCCCATTGGGTAAATTCAAGTTTCCATTTTATCTGCATCCTTAAAACCAATCACAATCATGGGAATTTTTGCTGGATTTACACTTAGACAGAAAAATTAGCAATAAATGAAACAGATTATTACAAGGTTTTCCCTGTCTCTCTCCCTGCTCTTCTTCTTCCATCTCTCCCTCCTTCCCCCTCTCTCTTTCTTTCTTTTCTTTTGCAGACACAATCCTTCTGCCTCAGCCTCCCTAATGCTAGGATTACAAGCATGCACCACCACGCCCAGCTCGCTCTCTCTTCTCTCTCTCTCTCTCTCTCTCTCTCTCTCTCTCTTTTATAAACCTCAGATTCATACAGTTGTGAAAACCATGAGACGATTCAGTGATTCTGACAAGGAGAGAGAAATTCTCTTTCCTGAGTTTTGCTATAAAAAAGTAGCAGTTTGGGAGCTACATGGCTCTGCAGTAAACAATCACTCTAGTCAGTTTCTCTTTGAAGCAGAGAGATTCTTGTAGGAGAAGAGAGAGGCTCAGCGCAAAAAATGAGAAAAGAAGCCTGTGAGTAGTTGAAGGAAATTACGGTGAGAAGAAAAGTGAAGGCAGAAAATTTCTCCCTAGGAGAAAGGCAAGGTTTGTGGTCAATCTGTTCTCACCTGAAGATAATGTTATCAGAGAGCTACGCGGTCCATGTGAAGGTTTGGAGTTTTGGTGCTGAAGCTCTGGAAATGTACTAAACTAAAGACCACTAAGGATTCCAGAATAGACTTTTGATATGTCACATGTTGAATGGTTCTGATTCGCAGACCATCTTCCCCTTGGAAAAACAACGAATCTGGGACCTTGGCCTTATCCAGAGATCAGTAGTAGGGGTTGTGAAATGGTCCTAGGATTTAGGGTTTGGGATGATTGGCCCTAACTGAAAGGCATACTTAGAAATAAAATGAGGTAAAAAGAAGCATGAAATAAAAGTCTCTAAAATTATGAAATCACTTGTAAATCCATAGTAATTATGTTAAAAAAAAATGAGCCACTTCAGATGAACTTAATTGACTTCTATGAATGACAGACAAGCCCAGGAGGTAAAATCATAAAATGAAATGCACATGAAAATTTAATATGACATTTTCCTTACCAGTGTAAAACACAACAATACTAAGTAATATTGTTTAGGGAACCAATTAATGATTTAAAAAATTATGCTGAATTTTAAATTTTGGAGACAAGTTTGGGCAAATAGGGTTGATTGCTTCCAATTCTGGTAGCATTTAAAAAGATACTTTAAATAACATTATTTCAAAATATTTTGTAATTATAACATTTGTTTGCAATACTGCAACAATGTAGAATTATATTGAAAATAAATATTTCCCTTCCCTTGACAACCCGAAGCTAATAAGTAGCCAATATCAAGGGTTTGGTGTGTGTATCTTTCCTAGAATTATACAAACATATTTATGTATGCATGTATGGGTTTTATATCTTTAATGATATCACACATCACACTGTATAACTGCCTTTTTCTCTTAACAGTGTATCATGGACATCTAAAGTCAGGTATTTAAATATGCATATGTTTGTTACTGACTGTATATTACCACAAAATACAGATGTGCCAAAACTTTTTCAGCCTCTTCCCTATTTAATTGATATTGGAAATCAAAGCAGTAATATACATGGTTGTTTATTATATCTTAGTGCTCTAGAATTCCTTGTGTATCTTTATACGTACCACATAAAAGACATCTATGAATTAGATATACTTTTGAGAACTAATTAATACACGTCTGAGATCTAATTTATAGATGTCTTTTATGTGGTATATATAATGATACACAAACATAAAAAAGAAATTCTAGAGCACTAAGATATAATAACTACGTATATTACAGCTTTGATTTCCAATATCAGTTAAAGTGTATAAATGTAATGAACATTGCGTGATGGCATTTCTTTCACTATATTCTCACTATCAATAAATAATATTCATTTGAGAAATTTCTCCCTGAAAATATCACATGTGACTCTCGTTTCAACTTGTATTTCCTGGATTACTAATGTATGCCTCTTAGTGGACTGAAATCTATTGGTGAATTACATGATACTAACTTCTATTTATATTTTCTTTGATTGCTGTTTTCATGTTAATTTGTAGAATTTTGATTATTTAGAATATATATACATATTTTTTTGTGTGTGTACGTGTGGCAGGCAAAAGATACAATGAGTTACAAATAATTTCTTCACTTAAATATTTCTTTTACTCTAACATCATTTATTGCATACATTTTTAAAATTTTTACTTGCTTCAATCTACCCTTTTTCCGTGACTTTCCACTTAAAATATTTTTTTAATTTTTTATAAATTTTGTTTTTAAAATTTAGATTTTAGATTCATCTGGAATTTGCCTTTTAAATATAATATGAAATACGAGCTAACTTAATTTTCTTCTAAATGAATATCCAAGTGATATTTGTTAAATTCTCTGACCTTCCCAAAAGACTTTGATGTGCTTGTCACCTTTACTGTTTGTTGAATAACTCTATGCATCTGAAGAGAGTTGTTTTACTTGTTTGCCTAGTCTAAATCATTGTAAAAGATGTAGAAGGTCTCAGTTTATATTTTAAATATAGCATTTCTCCAAAATAAAAGGATAAAAAAGAATACTAAAACCAAATCTCACTCACGAATATAAATACACAAATTGTAAACAGTAATTTGAATGCAATAGTATACTAGGATAATAGTACAACTTCAACAAGAAAGTTTATTCCAGTAATGCCAACAAGGATGTAAAGAACAGCCATTAATTCTATTAACCACACTAACACACACAAAAAAACAGGAAAGCTGTTTTACCAGAAGACTGGGTGTGCATGGGCTCATAGGGCAGCTATTCTTTACAAGCATTTCAAAGAGACTAAGTAAGAAAGACACTTGGTTTTCTTTCCTTCTCTTTCTTCCCTTTATTTGATACCAGGAATCCTCCAACTCACAACCTTACACTTGCCAGGCAGGCACTTACACCATTGAGCTAAACACTGGCCCCAGGAAAACATCTCTTGAAACATGATTAAAAGATGTCAGACACTAACATAATATACTTTATTTCATAAAGTATCACAGACAGTAAAGCTCCCCCTAAAATCAAGAATAAGACAGGAAGTCCAATATTAGCTTATTCAACATTCTTTTAGCAGTATTAGCAATAGGTTAAAATGAAATTAAAAAAAAAAGTATACTTACTAGAAACGATTTTGATTGTTTACAATTGGTATAACTACACATCTAAAAATAAAATAAATGCCCCCTAGGACAAGAGTTTACTAAGCTAGTTGCTAATACCAAAATCAATATCTTTTTTTTTATTTAAAGGAAAAAGAAAAAACAAAACAAAACAGTATAAGGGTACAAGTAATACAGAATGTCAAAAAAACAGTAAGAAATCACTAGTTAATAGATTACATATTGTCATCTTAAAAATAGTTGTTTAAGTTACAAGATTAAAGCATACAAAGGGACTTTCAAACAGTGAAACTGCAAACAGTTGTGTTCAATGATCCAACAAAAACCCAGCAATAAGGTCATCTATCTTAACACATCTAAGCACACTTGCAGTTGTATCCTTTAGAGCACTTTTTTCCCCTCTCTTTTTCACAACATTTACACATTTTGGGTTTTATTACTCCCATTGTTCTTATTACTTTTTTCCAAAATCAATATTTTATAAGAAATATCAGTAATTAACAGTAGAAAGAAAAGAAAATGTCGTAACCCAATGTAAACTTGGAGAAATCAGTGTGAAATAATGGAATTGGACAAACCTAAACAGATGAATTTATGACAAGTGAACATTTGAACTGAAAAGTACAGAATATGTATTATTAGACATAGGAACATTGATAAGACACTAAAAATGCAAAGTACACTAATGCAAATATGTACGTGCACTGTGCAAAGGGTATTCCTAGTGCGTGCAACTTCAGTTAAATCCTGATTAGGACACCCACTTCCTCAAACCAGAGACTGCATTCAGACACTACTGCTTTCAGTTTGACCTATGCTGGTCTAAACTTTCTTACTGGATTTTCTGTAAAGGAAGTGTAAGGCTTCATTTCTTCATTCTGAAGAGTATCTGTGGTGTGCAAACCCACCCCCTGTCCTAAACAGTCTGGAGTGAGGGTAGAAGACAAAGTCTGTTTGGTGGCCTTCTCATATACCAATTGAATGCAAGCATTTGCTTGCTCGCGTATGATTTTATCAGGTCCCTAAGTGTGGACACAGAGATTTACCATTAACTATTTCCATAATTAGTGCTTAGGATAAATGTTCCTTAAAATAGAAATTTCATTATCTAAAATTCTCATGTTGTATTTCTTATGATCCAGTCTAAGTAAAATAAATTACTTATATTAAAATATTTAAGTATTTCTCAACATGGTGGTTTTAGGAAAAGTTAAAAAAAATCTAAAACTTGAACTCTTTATCTAAAAATGAAAAGTGACTCAGAGGAACAAGCCACAGGTGATGAAGGTTGAAGGCCATCAACTACTCAGAACATGGAGAATTCTCTGGAGGTGACATTAGCTGTCAATGGCATTCAGAACTCTCTGGGGAAAGCAAATTGTTTCATAAAGTAACAGATCGAAGCATCATATGTACCTCTTTCACCAGCAAATTTTCTGCTTTGTGCTCTGCATCTTCAGGGACTGTTGAGTATAATGTTCGGATATCCCAAGACACTGTGGCTGTCTAGAAGAATAACAAAAAGAATCAAGTTATTTTCGTTCTTGGCATGGAAAGATAACACAGAGAGACTCTGCAGATCTCACCAATTTAATCTCTATGAAGGAGGATCCTAATTTTTTTATTCTACTACCAGCATCATTACACTTTTCATTTTATCAGTGTACTTTATAATTTTAAGCTCATTTTCTTTTCCCACAGAGAGTAAAAATTTGGGTATCTAAATTTTAGATGCTTTGGTTTTTCTACTAGAATCTTTTTAAATTGTTCATATTGAAGTGAATTTGAAATGATGGTATAACTTACAGAATTAGCAACATTTAATACTATTATTAAAAAATCTCCTTAATATCAACAGGGTAAACAGTACTTTTTAAGAGCTGTTGTGTGTGTGTGCACTTAGCAACAAGCTTGACAAAACAATGCTAAGTAAATTTGGTCTTAAAGAAAATGGTCCTGTTTTTAGTGTCCTTATTTTTGTAGTAATAAGCAAACTATTTTTCAACTTCTATGCTAAACAAATAGAATACTATTAAATGGATGTACCTAAACAGATGTATGGAGTACTTCATAAGACAACTAAAATATGATTTCATAGGATGCTTCCTCTTTATAGCTTCTGCTCCGTTGGTCTGATGAGGAATGACTTGGCCTAAAACAGTGGTTTGCATCAACGGCCATCAGCTTCTGTTAGCCTGCATACCTCAGAGCTTCTATGTGATGCCACGGGGGAAAATCTGTGGTATTCATGGTCCACTCACTGAGACCTTTAATATTCCATACTCCTCAAATCACAAAGGATTCACCAGGGTAACTTTGAAGGTTCATTCAAATTGGCCCAGATGAAGTGCATTGTTCTGGATTGTTAATTATCTTCTAGAATAATTTTGAGAACTTCAAAACCATCCTTAGTTTTGGAGAAGATTGGCATGGCACGGGTGAAGGGAGTCTAGTTTCTTCCGTACATGGCCATCACACCCAGCTCAGCCACCAGGGCAACATCATGCCCATTATTCCTTTTCTTTGAATTCTCATGATTTCTTCAAATCCCTCTTTTCTTCACTTCTAATGTGAGTTCCATGAGGGGAAGAAATACTGTCTTCTTTGTTTACTGCTATAATCTTAGGGCAAGGCCATGTGCTTGAATCTTCTTTTTTAAGAACATATTGAGCATGTGCAAGGATTTGTGTGTCCACCATGTAGCTATGTGTTGTGAGTTGTATATGATTGTCTAGTATCTATGAGAGCATGTGTGGCTGAAGGTTGTATATGGGTGTGTCTGCATCATCACTGTGAGACATATGACTTCATGAGAGTGTGTTGTACTTGAGTATTTAATATGTGTGATGTAAACATGTATATGGTGTGTGTGTATGGTACACGAATATGTGTAGTATGTCAGTATGTGCATGTCTGCTTATGTGGGAAAGCACACAATGCATGAATGTGTCTATGTGATAGTGCACACACATGCATGTTAGAAAGCATAGTTTTGACACTGTGAAAAAGGAAGAATGCTATGTGAGTCTAACAAGATGAGAGATTGAAAAAATGAGACTATGTTCCAGATGAATCACATAGTCAGAATAAATGCTCATTTTAAACACAGCGCCAGACAGAGCTCCTGGGGCCACTGCATTTGCACTAGCATTTGACTACAGCTGAAGATTTGAAAAACCTGTGGCTACCAATTCAAACTAAATGTAGATAGAAGGAACAAATGTAGATACAGAGATGGATTAGGGAGTGCTTATTTTCTGTATAAAGTATGACAGAACCAATTTAGATCTTATTTAGATTTTGTATTTATAATTCATTTTAATTTCCTCCTTCAAGTTACTTCTCTTATGGTATTCAAAGAAAATCAGTAAACGATTGAAAGTTTGGGATAGAAGACTTACAGCCATGTCTAAATTGAGCTTTAGGGATTATGGCTGGATTCCAGTTACCTGGGGGATAACTTTGTTTCTTGTTGAGATAGAGAACTTAAGTTACATAGTGTTACTCATATGGCTTCTAGGGATTATTGCATATTATAATCCATTGAAAACATTATGGTTTTAAAAATCGAATTCAAAAATTTTCCGTATTACCATCATGAATTCATAGTAAATTTTTATATATAACATATTCAAGATTTTCTTCTTTATCTTTGTCTACCTGGACCATCCCACTACTCTCCTCTCTTTGAAAGAAATGGTTGTGCCAAAAACTCCAAGTCTGATGGAGAATACAGTAAAAAGAATCCCAGTCAAGCTGATAGGTGTACTATAAACCTATTGTCCCACTAAGATAACAAAATAAGAGTGAGTAACTAGTATAGCTTTTGAAAAATAGTAAGTTTCATGCTTACTTCAGTAGCACATACTTTAAGTAGAAAGTTTCACTAGTGCGGAATTAGGCTTTTAGGAACAATAGTGATTGGTGATGCCGTGGAGCAACAACAGAACCAAAAAACATAAACCAATGCTCATTTGCAATACAGGGATAAGGAATTTACTCAATTGGGGCTTTGAAAGCTGCCAAATCATGTATACAACGCCTATCTGATTTTATCTCTAATCAAGATACAATGTTGACTCTAGTAAATAAGAACTGTACTGCAGTTTAAATATTCTCATGAAATCATGGATAAATCTGGAACACTATTTAACAATATGTGCAGAGCTACTGCATAACTAACACCTTGTACAAAATACACACCGAATAGATAAAAATGTATATAAAATGCATTCCTATAATACACTACTGATCAATATCACTACTGCTCAGTTATCAATACTGAAGTATTTACTTAGAAAAGCAAAAGGCCTCTCTGAGGCTTCAACTTTAAAAATGGTGGCATTCTTACATTTATTTTTGATTTCTTTAATGTCTCTCTGTTAAAGCAAAAATAAACTGATCAAATGTGAAGTGTAACATTCATATTTTGAGGATATTAATATGGTTACAAAGAATTTCTTTTCTGAGAAATAGATGCTTTCAGACCACTACAAACTGCTTTGGCCACAACAGACTTCCTGTTCCTTTTTTATAGAACCTCGGTTGACAATTAGTATGGCTCAATAGCATGAAATAGATCTCAGACTGTTCTGGGACGCAGCCAAGCTCTTTTGATAGTACAAGTTGTACAAGGAGCTCACTGTCCAGAGATTGGGGTACTGGAAATAAAATTTGTCATAGGCCTGGTATTTAAAACTTCAGGTTTGTGACACTCAGACATCTAGGACTGAAGCTCCACTGCCTCTGGTTCCTTCTACCCTGCAGTGAGCAGTCTTTGTGGTTTGGTTGTGGTCACCATTCTGCTGGTTGAAGTGAATACAGATGACTTCAATACAAGGCTATGGGGGCCGTTTCTCCACTGGACAAAGGCTGCTATCAAAAACAAGGCCCAACGTCCTTGGGCTGAGGGAGCCTGCACTCACAGTATTATAGGCTGCAGCAATTCAAAGAGGGGGACAGAAATGAGGGTTGAAATGTAATCAATCAAGTCAACAGCCTAAGAGTGGAAACTGAACCCTCACATCAGGATCAATTCTGGCCCACACACCTGCTTGATAAGCAACGTTCCCCTAAATTCACCAGAAGAAGGCATTGTTTTTGCCTTTTATTCTGTTAGAGAAGTCACTTATATTACATTAGTTTCTTGAAAACCATTTTAAATATATTCACAAAAGTACTGCCATGATTTATCATTTATCTTTTAAATATACGAGAGTATCTTTTTAGTGCTTTTATTTTGTCTGAAGGAGAAGATCCCCGTTGTTTTGTTAAAAACTGGAAAAATGCTTAAACATCAAGAGAAATTATGCGTAACTGTCATGATCCAGTCAAGTCAAGCATGGGGACTCAACCATTATAGTATTTAGGTTTAAAAGTAGGGAGGAAGTTTAAGGTCACTATTGGAGTGGAAAACTACTGAGAAAGTCTTTTTTTTTTTTTTTTGTGACTCATTTTATCAGCTCCAAAATATTTCTCACTTCCTTCAAGGAAGTGAGGATAAAGCATTCCTTTTTAAAAAATGATTTTAGCTACAAATTTACAGAGTACAGCATGATAATTTGCAACATGTACGCAGTGAACAGTGATCAAATTACGATAGTTAGCATGTCTATCTCCTTAAATATCTGAAAGTTGGATTAATAATAATCATTGTGCATTCTGGGTATGGAGATACATGAGCACTGATGAGAACCAAGTGCTGCAATAATATGAAGCATAGGTTACTTGAGGATGACCCCATGGTGAGGACTCTGGGTATGTCCTCTGCACTATTCAGAAAGGCCCCAAGAAAAAGCCCCTTGGTACAGACACAGCCCCAGGAAGAGCAGTGGGCCTGAGACACTAGCTACCCCGCCACACCACCCTCTGTGCCTTTCCCGTAGGACAGCCCACCCCACATTCCTTCTCCCACACTGGGTGCAAGCCTGCAGGGCTCTTACGCATCTCAGAAAATAATTTTCCTTCCTTATTTCCAAATCGCAGATTTCATATAGGTGTCAGATTCTTTTGAAAGTCCCTGGTTTGTCCACCATACATTTTTTCTTTCCTGAACTCTATTATTTACTGTCTCTATGATGCTCGAAATCTAGTTTTACACCCAAAAACTATGCTGCTGATTAATCCAGCCAATCATTTTACAGGTAGGTTTTAGTGCACATAAGAAAACCACATGTTATCTATTTTGGGAATAAAATGTAACAATTAATGAAGTAAGCTTTGCTGTGCTCATTTGCCAAGTGCATTTCCATGTTTATATTCTTTAAATAATAAATTACTTGAATGTGAATGTGTGCTTTTATGACTTTTTGTATCCTTTTTCTGAATATCCATAACATCTTATCCTAATAGTTAAAAACCATTTTTTAAAACAAATAGGACCATCATTGAGATACAATCTATATGCCATAAAAGTTCTATTTTAAGGTATAGAATGCAGCAGTTTGGAATAGATTCAAAGTTGTGCAATCATTACCACTATTTAATTTCAGAACATTCTAATCAGT